ACAGTTTTAAACAAGACCCCACTACAGTTTTACAAGACACACTGTAGGGGTTAAAAGACCCCCACTAACTTTTAACAAGACACACTCGTCTTAAAGACACACTGCATTTTCTTACATGAAAACACTACATTTATTAAAAGACACACTACAGTCTTACAACACACACTTTTTAATCTTACAGGAACACTACGGTTTCCCAAGGGACACCTACAGTTTTACAAAACACTGTAGTGTTACAAGACACACTACAGTTTTTACAAGGACACCCCTACGTCTTAAAAGACACACTGCAGTTTTACATGGGACACACAAAACCCAAAAAGTTTTTAAAAAGACACACTCCCAATTTTTAAAACAAAAGGGGGGGGGGGGCCCGGGGGGGGGGGGGGGGGGGGGGGGGGGGGGGGGGGACACAATGCAGTCTTAAAAAGGAAACACTGTAGTCTTAAAAAGAAACGTTTGAGTTTTTAAAAGACAACTTAGTCTTACAAGACACACTATGGGTCTTAAAAAGACACACTGCAGTCTTACAAAACATCCCGGTCTTAAAAGACACCCCACGGGGACTTAAAAGGGACCACTCCCAGTCTTAAAAAGGCACACTCCCAGTCTTTACTAGACCTATGTTTTTAAAAAGACACACTACTGTCTTACAAGACACACTACGGGCCTTGCAAGAGACACTCTATTTGTTTCAAGACACACTCCCAGTTTACAAGACAAAATAAAAGACTTAAAGACACATACAGTTTTAAAAGGGCCACACTACAGCCTTAAAAGGACACATTTATAGCCCTTCCCAAGACCCCACTACTGTTTCCAGACCCCCACTAAAAGTTTTAAACAAGAAAAACTACAGTCTTGCAAGGCACCACTTTTGTTTTTAAAAGGGACCCCAGTATAGTCTTAAAAAGACAACTACATTTTTTAAAAGACAAAATTTGCAGTCTTCCCAAGACACACTACAGTATTACAAGACACAGAAATAGTCTTCCCAAGACCACTATATTTTTTTAAACAAGCCACACTACAGTCTTGCAAGACACAGTCATTTATTCAAGACACATTACAGTCTTAAAAGACCACACGGTCCACAAAAACCCCCATACAGTCTTAAAGACACACTATAGTCTTGCAAGACCCCACTACATCGGGGAAAAAGACACACTAAAAGTCTTACAAGACACACTACAGTTTTTACAAGACACACTATAGTCTTAAAAGGGACCACACCTTGCCTTAAAAGACACATACAGTCTTAAAAAGACACATACAGTTTTACAAGAACACTACAGTCTTACAAGACACACTACAGTCTTTAAAGACACAGGGACACCCTTACAAGGACAAAATTCCCCCCGTCTTAAAGACACACTATAGTCTTAAAGACACATTTAACCTTTCTTAAAAGCCACACTCCCGTCTTCCCAAAAGGGACCCCACTACGTTTTTTGCAAGACCACTACAGTTTTTACAAGGACACACTACTGTTTACAAGACACATTTCAGTCTTAAAGACACACGGGTTGTTTCCAAAAACACTACAGTCTTAATAGACCCCAATCCCGTTTTTACAAGAAACACTACCATCTTAAAAAGGGACACATTTCAGTCTTAAAAAGGACACACTCGGGTTTTTACAAGACAAATCCACCCCCCCCTTTAAAAGACACACTACGTTTAAAAGACACACTACAGTCTTACAAGGCACCTGCAGTCTTAAAGGGGACACACTACGCCCTTACAAGACCCCACTGCGTTTTTAAAAGAGACACTACATCTTAAAAGACACACTACAGTTTTTCAAGAACACTAAAAGCTTACAAGGACACACTACGGGTTTTTACAAGACAAACTCAGTTTTACAAGACACAATACAGTTTTAAAAGGGAACACAAACAGTCTTAAAAAAGACACACTACTGTTTTTAAAAGACCCCTTACACCCCTTAAAAAGCACACTGTTGTATTTAAAGGGAAAACCCTCCCAGTTTTACAAGACACATTTCGTCTTAAAAGACACATACGGGCCTTAAAAGCCCACAGTACGGGTCTTAAAAGGCACATACAGTCTTAAAAAACACACTTTTAGTGTTACAAGACACACTACATTTTTTTTTTTTTCCAAGACACACTATAGTCTTACAAGAAATACTACAGTCTTACAAGATGCACTACAGTTTTACAAGACACATTTACGTCTAACAAGCCCACACTACGGTTTAAAAAAAGGGACAAATTACATTTCTTACAAGCACGTATAGTCTTAAAAAGACACACTACTTCTTCCCCCAAAGGGGAACACAACAGTCTTAAAAGGACACACTACAGTCTTCCCAAGACCCCACTATAGTGTTACAAGACACAGTATAGTCTTACAAGACCACTCAGTCTTACAAGACACCTGAAAAGTCTTAAAAGAAAACACTACAGTTTTTCAAGCACAGTATAGTTTACAAGAAACTTTAGTATTAAAAAAGGACACACTCCCCAGTCTTGAAAGGACACACGACAGTATTAAAGAACTTACAGTCTTAAAAGAAAACACTACGGTTTTTAA